TCCCGGGTGTTGGCCAGAGTGGCCATCAGACAAACCTGGGGAGGGCTAGCTTCCCCCTGTTCGAATTAAGGGGCTACAAACCCCTTAATTCGAACTAGCTAGTTCGAACTAGGCTTAATCCTCGTAAAATGAGGTTTTCATAGTTCGAACTAAGCGCTCCGTTAGTTCGAATTAAATTCGAACTAGCGGAGCGCTAGTATAGCGCCTATGAAAGTTAGTTCGAACTAACGTCCGTTAGTTCAAACTAACTTTGTAGTGTAGACATACCCTCCGTCAGCAAGATCTCCATGTCTCGTCTCTCCCAGCAAAAGCACCAATCACTACAAACAGGATTTGAACCTGCTAAGGGAGATCTCAGGGGATTTCAAATTCAGTGCGTTAACCAATCAGCCATCACAGCTACCTAAAAAGCATAATCTCTGCAGTCTGCTGCAGAGAGTCTATTCTATGTGGTTGTGATGAGGTGCTGTGGTTCAGGGTTCTTGTTTTCTAAGCAAGAGCATGGGGGAAGGAAAGGGGAGTAGGTAAATCAAAGGGCATTGGGGGGGAGTACATAGACAGATAGGGTGGGAATGTAGAGAGATTCTGTTCCTTAATGTTTACTATACAAAAGCATAAATAGATGAAAAATATGTTTTTAGATTTCCGCCCTATGCCTGTAATCTCAAGACTCAGTCATTCTTCTTATGCAGTCAGTGCATCAGCAATCGCTGATGTGTGGCTTTGTATGTTGATTGGAGGATAGCTGGTCTGAAATTATCTTGACCTTTGCTGATCGGAGGGAACATGGGTGTAAGTCAATTTGTCCAATGCTGATTGAAGGCCGCATGGGTTTAAATAATTTTCCCCTTGCTGATTGGCAGGAAAAAAGATTTAACTTGTTGTTGACTGCCAGATGTTTGGATATAAATACTTGGGCTGTGTCTAGACTGGCAAGTTTTCCGTTAAAAGCATTTTTGGAAAAGAGCATCTAGATTGGCACGGACGCTTTTCCGCAAAAAAGCCTTTTTGAGGAAAAGCGTCCGTGCCAATCTAGACGCGCTTTTCCGCAAAAAAGCCCCAATCACTATTTTCGCGAACGGGGCTTTTTTGCAGAAAACAAATCTGAGCTGTCTACACTGGTCCTTTTGCGCAAAAGTTTTGCGCAAAAGGACTTTTGCCTGAATGGGAGCAGCATAGTATTTCCGCAAGAAGCACTGATTTCTTACAGTAGGAAGTCAGTGCTTTTGTGGAAATTCAAGTGGCCAGTGTAGACAGCTGGCAAGTTTTTTCAGAAAAGCGGCTGATTTTCCGGAAAAACCGGCCAGTCTAGACACAGCATTGGAGGGAGTCCAGCAGAGGGCAACAAAAATGATGAGGGGGCTGGAGCATATGACTTATGAGGAGAGGCTTAGGAATTTGGGCTTATTTAGTCTACATCAGTGGTTCCCAACCTTTTTGAGCCCATCCACAGAGGATATGGAGAGAGGGATCTCCTGGCCAAAGCAGCTCCTGCCCTGGCATTCCTCCTGTGGCAGGGCATGGAGCCCTGGGGGAGAAAAAAAAGAAAAGGAAAAGAAAAGAAAGTGAGGATTGGGCCCCACTGTGGGAGTGGGACTGGGAGTGGGGAGAGGGCTGGAGTGTAAATGGCAGTGTAGCTGGTGGCTGGAGGACAGATTGTGCCTCCTGAGGTATCAAAATCCAGTCTCAAGGGCGGGAGGCAGAGTGTGCGTGACTGCTTATGAACAGTGAGCCCTGGGCAATAATGGCCTGGTGGAAAGTCCCAGTCCTGTGGTGGGCCTGTTCTTTTCTTTTCCTAAACTTTCCACAGATCCCCTACAGTACTGGCATGGACACCTAGGGGTCTGCAGACCACAGGTTGGGAACCACTGGTCTGTAGAAGAGAAGAGTGAGGGGGGATTTGATAGCAACTGTCACCTTCCTGAAGGGAGGTTCCAAAGAGGATGGAGGGAGGCTGTTCTCAGTAGTGACAGATGGCAGAACAAGGAGCAATGGTCTCAAGTTGCAGTGGGGGAGGTCCAGGTTGGACATTAGGAACAACTATTTCCCTAGGAGGGTGGTGAAGCGCTGGGAGGGGTTCCCTAGGGAGGGGGTGCAATCTCCATCCTTAGAGGTGTTTATGTCCCAAAGCCCTGGCTGGGATGGTTTAGTTTGGGTTGGTGCTGCTGTGGGCAGGGGCGGGACTCGATGCCTCCCTGAGGTCTCTTCCAGCCCTGGGAGTCTGTTAAACCATTTTGCCCCTTGCTGACTGACAGATACCTGGGTATAAACCGTTTTGTTGCATGTTGATTGGAGGATACCTGGGCATAAATCGTTCCCACTGTCCCTGGATCCTTTCTTTACCGAAACCATTTTTCAGCCTCTCGCCGCAGGGAAGGGCTTCCCAGGATAACACCCCCAGCTAGAGGCTGAAATAACAAAAAAAAAACTGGAGATGCCGGGGATTGAACCCGGGGCCTCATACATGCAAAGCATGCGCTCTACCACTGAGCTACATCCCCTACATGGGAACGGTTCCTCCCACAGAGGAACTTCATAGGGCCGCTGCCCTCTTCCTGACCTCAAACAAGATGGCGATTTAGGACTCGTCCTCGCCGTCAGACGGGAAGTTCTCGCGACATCTCCACCCAGCGCGCAGGCGCGCCTCTCTCTATGGGGCGAGGCCAAGGGATGCACGTAGAGGCGGTTGCCTGGGGCAACGTGGGGGCCTAAGCGGGATCACGGCCGCGGGTGGGAGCGCTGAGGTGCCCTCTTCCTGACCTCAAACAAGATGGCGATTTAGGACTCGTCCTCGCCGTCAGACGGGAAGTTCTCGCGACATCTCCACCCAGCGCGCAGGCGCGCCTCTCTCTATGGGGCGAGGCCAAGGGATGCACGTAGAGGCGGTTGCCTGGGGCAACGTGGGGGCCTAAGCGGGATCACGGCCGCGGGTGGGAGCGCTGAGGGTTCTTTTATATGAGAGGGGGAGTCCCACGGCGGAGGGTTCCATGGGG